TTTATGGGACGACAAGGACGCCGAGGCTCAACTCCAGGCTTATTGGAGGGGTAATATCCCTGTGAACACACATGTGCACACACACACACACACACACACACACACAGAGAGGAAAGTAACATGTTTAAATTCAGTTCAAACAAAACAAAGGATCTTAATAGAAACTTGATCTTAATTAAACACAGCAAATCTTAAACAGATTATAACCAAAATGAAGATTTCTTAAATGCTAATGAAGTTTAAATCCCTCTTAAGAAAGCATTTTGATCTCCAACTGGTCAGTTTATTATGTACACTTATTCAGTGAATCAGCCAATCAGATGGCACCAGAACGGGGAAGAAATGGGATTCAAAGCATTTTGAATGTCACACATTTGCTGGTGCCAGATGGGCTGGTCAGAGGATTTCAATAAGTATCGATCAAGGCACATGGCTCTGAGATACTATTAATCATATGACAATAATCAAATATGATTTAAACACAATTTCTGAACTCTAAAGTCTCCGCCTTTTCAAATATACATCTGATGTTGGCATCAACAGCAGCTGAGACTTAACAGGCAAATGTATTATTAGAGTCTAAATCTGCATGGATTTAGACTCTGCATGGCGTCTAAATCCATGACACTTGAAAAATTATATCCTTCCCAAATATGATCCAAAACTTATAAATGCAATGAATATTTCAATTCAACATGTTGTGCAGCTCTGCGATTGATAGGCTGGTTTTCTCTCACACAACCATCTCTCTAGTTTAGAGAAAAATGCTGACACAATATGCTGACACAAAACGATGCTAACCCAGGCTGGAGTCAAACCTGTCCTTTCGTAATATTAAAGTCTAACAATTAGCCAGCAAATAACAATAAAAGGTTAACCTGCTTTCCTGAAACATCAGCATATAATAGAGTGAATCAACCTACCGGAACATGACAATAGGACTGGTTGACTTTGACAGCAATGTTGGGGGGATACTGGTCCTCCTGAACACCAATAGGGTCTGAGTAACAGATTCTGCATGACAGAGGAAGCACAGCAGCATGAACGATCATCTGTGATAATCAGGGTTTTAAAAGGATTTAACAAAAACGATGCATCTATCAAATAGAAAAATGGATTCTAGACAACCTGGATAAGCATTTCGAAACTCACCTAAGAACCACTTGGACTGATCGGATCCCAGCACGAAGCTCACTGGATAGACAGTTTAAATTAAACATGTACTTTAGCGTTATAAAAACAGGCAGTTTAGAAAAACACAAAACTCCTGAGTTATTACCTTGCATTCCGGACCTGGTCTGCTTGGCTTGGTGTTAATTCGAAGACGCAGTGACTGTCCTGTAATTTTTCACTGTTGTGGGCAACTACAGAGACAAAAGTAGGCACAAGTCAACAAAAAAAAATACAACCTTAGTATATGAACTTGGTTTGCACTTACCCAGCTCTGTTGGCGGCAGAAGCGTCTCTAAGGTTTGGTAGAAGGGCAGAGGGACCAGCCTGACCTCGGTCGCAGGTGTGTGGAGCGGTTTGGAGATCCCGTTGAGGTAGTCTGTGCCCTGTGAGGTCAACGATGGGGAGGAGCTGAGTGATGAATACGCCACCGGGACGCCCTCTGGACGCCGCGCCGGGAGCCACGCGGCTGACTTGGGGAAACGCGACTCGTAAAGCTGCCGGACGTTCTTCAAGAGTTCTGGACTGTACTCGGTCTGCACTAGCCTCAGCGCACGCCCCACCAGGTCCTGCTTCAGACCACTTTTGCTGCGACCCATCGAGGCCAGCAGCGTCTGTAGGTCTGAGACCCGGAAACTTTTCACCATGTTCTGAAGGGAGGACAAAGCAAAACCGTAAGAAAGACTTCATGGGAGAAAACTTTAAGCCTGTAAACTGAAAACTTAACAGAATAAAACATCTTACACTTTGAACGCCAAGTTTCTAACCAAGCAGATGGAAGATCTCAAAACTAGACCTGTGTAACCACGTTGTTGTAGAGAGCACTACGTCACTTTGATCATAAATGTTCATTTCAAAGGTGAATATATACATCACTATATCATATCAATGCATCCTACACACTGACTTTTGTAACAGCCAAAGTGGTTTAACATAATGTATACTGGAAACTTAGTGTTTCTGTGCAAAGCTTACATCTTACAGCTTGAAGCAGCCTTGTTGAGTGGCAGTAGTTTTTCCTGATCTCAGGTAGGATTACAGGATTACTTTTTTTGAAATGTCAAAATACTTCACACAATTTCTGGTTTATAAGATGGACTAAAAAAAGCTATCCTTGTACAATTTGCAGTACAATCCTTGTATATTTGCAAGGTTTTTTTGTTTAACTAGCAGAATGAAATTTCACAGAAGGTGCACATAGCACTAACAATAAGGGTAAAAATAAAAACATTTATCTATTGAGTATGTCTGTGTATATACTGACTGATAAATGCCACTTATAATGAGAAATGACATTTCTCATTTAAAAAAAGGGTAAAATGTATCGTTCAGCTCTGGCAAAACTGTTTTTTTAAGCATATCGTTTCAGGGTTTTCATGGTAGTACAGCTGGTAGCGCTGTTTCCTCGTGTTGCAGTGAGACAATCCTGGTCTAAACCCACAACTTGGGGTCTTTCTCAACGAATGTTCTCCCCATGTAAGCACGGGTTCTCTCCGGGTACTCCAGCATTCCCAAAAACATGACTGTTAGGCTTATTGTTTACTCTAATGGCCAGCAGATATGAGTATGTGGGTGTGGATGGGTGTATGTCCTGTGTGTCTCTGTGTTGCTCTATGATGGATTGTCCAACTGACCAGGGCGTACTCTGCCACTCCCCCAACGACTGCTGGGGACAGGCACCAGGCCCCACGCGACCCTCCCAGAACAAGCTGGCATAATCGATGAGTGGATGTTCACATGTGTGTTTTCTATAAGCAAGTATGCAAGTTTCTTTTCACTCCACTCTATCGACTGGGAATTATGCTTTTGGCTGTGCCGTCTTCTCAACATTGACATGTTGTCAATTATATAACAAAATATAATTTGTTATCTTTTTTATTTTTATTATTCCAATTAGCAAAACAGACAAGGCTTACTGTTTACGTTAGGACCAACATGGCCAGATTTACCTGAAGAGCTCAACTAATTAATTTGTTATTAACTATCTAGATAGTTAATAACAAATTAACTATGTAAATAGATACCATAGCATATTCTGAATAATATTAGCCTGAATAAATGTACAATTTCCATATAGAATTATGGACATGTATTTTTTCTGTTAGTATTGTATTTTAATTATGATTTTAATGAAAAATAATCCAAGCCTAATCCTTGTGTGTTTCATGACAGAGTATTCCCTCTACATGTTTTACTTATCAATACAAATACATAAAGGAATACATACTATTCTGCATAAATGAAATTGAATAAAAAGGTGTATTACAAATTAATTAACTGTCATTTTTTACTATTAAAAAGTCAAAACATTTAAATATAACTTGTTAAACGTTTCAAGTTGAATCTGTTGGTGGTTCAAGATCAGAAGCATAAGTTCGTGTATGATTTTCAATTTATAAGTATTTTGTTTTGACAATCAATGCTACAAAATATATTCCCATGACTGCATAAACATCTGAGGTCATGTTTACTCATATGTAAAGAACTCGTTTACTGATCTCATAAGAGGAACATTTCAGCAGAGAAAAGGGTACACTAGACAAAAACAAGTAGCCTAAGAGAGGACGTCTGTTCAAATTAGCAACTAGAGCGATTGAAACAATGTTTTTGACCTGACATGTTGCTACTTTGTCTGCCGGTGTTCTCTTGGATACAAGTGGACGGATGCTTTATATCTAGATTGAAAATCGCACAATTCTGTTCTTTTTGTTTAGAAAGCAAAATGCTCAGCATCAATAAGGTAGCAATCAGGAGGCTTGCCTCTCTAGAGACTAGCCTGTCAGTATTCAATCATTTTGACAGATGGCCGGCTCTAAACACAAAGAAGCTAACTAATAAATAAATACCTAAACTATTTGTATAAGAAATGAAGTAGGGTGAAATGTGTACATCTTTGATATGTGGTCTCATTCATTATCGGTGTCTTCCCTCAGACCCAGCATGATGCTAACTAAACCAAGCACTTGCCTGGTTAACATAACCTAGCAGGCTAGCTTTGTTAGCCCCACAGGCTAGTTCTTTTCGTCGTGATTTAAATATGTCAAATTCGTAGAAATTTCCATATTTAAAATATCGATAAACGAGCCCATGTTAATCCACAGCCGTTGTGACTTTCAGGTCATATTCCCGCGTCCGTTTCCCCATCAAGCGAAAGCCACCAAGCTTTACCTACCATCGCTTCCACCAGTTCGGCCGCCATCTTCGCGTTGCAGTACCGCGAGAGTCACAAATGACGACAAGTCCTCCACCAATGAAAGGCCAAACCTTTTTGACAGAGGTGACGTTTTGACCAATAAGAATGCGAAACAAAAGAGTGACACTTAAAATAGGCGGGATTACCGTCTTTTAAAGATATGGTACACCTTTAAAAAAATACTCAGAGGCAGGTCTCTTTTTCTACATTAGGCCTCAGTATCAATGAATTTCAATGGGCTTCAAAATAGGTGTCAATATAATATGTTCCAGTTTTATAATGTTGAAAAATTTCGAACCCATGTCTCTGGTACTGTTGAAATTCAAGCTGAAAGTAGAGCACTGGCTGTCAAAGTGGATGGGGTAGCATGGTCCTTTGAAATCCCGTCCGAGCAAAAAAATCCGTTTCGGGTTTTGTAACCAGTCATGGGAAGTGAAGGTGAAGCTTTGTGTGAGGCATGGTTACAATTACACAAAAACGACTAATTAAACAAAATGAACATGCATTACTGTACAAAACAGTTAAATTCAATTTAAAGCATGAATACTTATATTGCAGCATATAGTCAAGCATTTTCTTACAAGTGTATGTTTGGGATAATCCAGTCCTGATTTTCCAGTAGCTCTTCAATCTGTGAAACTGCACCATAAGACGTTATGAAGTGAGTGATCGTATTGTAATATATTTTATCTATACTATATATAAAAAAAATGATTCTAATCAGCTGGACTGATGTAATCAAGTTAACTGTACACATTATCTCACTTAACCTATTAAAATGTGTTAGAACGTCAATTTAAAAAGAGAAAGACAAACTGGAAATAATCCATTCTCTATAATTAAGAAAACAAGTTGCAGCTGTGATTAACAGAACACGCATGTGCCAAGATGTGACAACATGGTCATATGATACACTCTTCAAAAAATTTTGTGAAAAGTTCCACCTCATATTTTCTTTCACGTGAATTCTCATCTTCCCACAGTAAGTACTTCAATACTTTTTAGGTTTTTTTTGTCACACTGTTTGATATACCCACATTCTTGCTTTGAAAGTTTGTCAAATGTCTTAATTTCATACTTAATGCTATATTTAGGTGGAACTTTTAAGTAGCTAGCTTGTTCAGTGCCTTTTTTCTACATTGTCTGAACATCTAAAAAGCGCTTACTAAACATTTTTCAAAAAGAGGAAAATACGAATTTTTTGTGTGTGTAATTTTCACTTGAACAAAATTTTATTAATAAAAGTAAGTTGCTTCGCAAGACGATTGTAACTTAGTTTATAATAGAATGAGAATTTTACAGTTTAAAATAATGCATATATAGTAATAAATTAAATAAATGAATAAACACTTAAGAATCAGTTTTATTACTTTAGAAATGAATTCCAAATTGAGAATTCCGTTTTGACAAAACTTGCTCAACATTTGTTAGAACATTTTAAAATGAGTTTGTGACTTTTTAACTACTATCATAAAAACAGAAAATCTTAAATTAAATCAATGTAATAATCTTAAGCTAAATCAACTTAATAAAACATAAAATCTTAAGTTAAATCAACTTAATGTAACTTAATTTTAATAATGTAAAAACTTGACAAAATAAAATGTAATTTTTTTGTCTAACATTACTTATACAATGAGTAACGCCAAATTGTCAGCTGCATATGTAACAAAGCTGGGTCAACATTAAATATTGACTTGTAGTACTTCCTACGTCTGTGCTTACATGTGGCAACATTAGACAGTTTGCAGTTCTTATCAGAGGTTTAGAAAAGCAAAACTTTCAAAAGACTGAGAATGTAACAGGAGCTTTTTTTTCTCATTTGACTGCAACTTTCTAACCTTTGCTCGAGTGAATTATACCAGATGTAATAACTTATACTGAATTTGTCATAATTTAATGTGAACCTCAGCAGATTGTCCTGTAAATGGCCTTATAAATTGTTGCAGTGCTGAATTTTGAATTGCAACTCATTCAAAATACCATGCTTATAAAAGAGAAACACCAAGCCACCCTGCTAAATATAGCCATTAATTTCCCATTAACTTTGATCTGTCAATGATTCAACTGAGGTGCAGGCTTTCAATTTTCTCTAATACATGCCAGATCCATATCATAGGGTCAAAAAAAGTTTTATGCAAGAAAACCAACTAGTTATAATGACCCATTATAATTCTCTCAGGAAGAGTATACAGCCAGATTTATGCCAGAAGTGTACTATTGGCAACAATAACAGTATAGATGATGTGTAATTGAATATGAGCAATGTTGTGGTATATTTATTTGAGCCTGTATGTGTACTTATGACTCAAAATAAAACAAACTGTGCATCTAATTATTGTTTTTACAAATCAAATTCTCTTTTTTTAAAGATAATTCAACCCTGCCAAAAGAGTAATTCCAAGTAAACATTTAAAAGCCACCAATTATTGACATTATAAGAGTCAGTGTGTGCTAACGTCTCACCACATCTGTATTTGTCCGATTGGTGGAACAGTCACATCAAAACAAATTTATCTGGCTTGCGATAGTACAAAAACATTTAAATTAGTGATCCATATTGTGCATCTTGTTTCATTATATAAACAGAAGAGGGCAACATGGTCCATGATTTAAAGTGAGTCTGATTTGAATTATCTTGTTTGTTGGACATATAGAACAAAGCAGACATCTACACTTAATTTGATCAATACTATCTGTTTATGCAACGATATGTTTAAATAAATCTGTCTACTTTAGAATCAATACAACTAGAATATAAAATATAAAACGACGAATGTTAATTAATTTGCAAAATGAATGCATGATCTCCACTTTTCTTGGAGTTTAAATAATCTGAAATAAGTTTTTAACTGAGAACAACTCACCATTATAACAAATGTTGGTAACACTTTATTTGAAGGGGGGTGAATAAGACTGTCATGACACTTTCATAAACATAACACCTGTTATGAACATGAATAAGTCTTCATGAATATTTATGACTGTGGTCATAAAGCGTCATTCTGTAAATTATGACACTTTTAATACAAAGTTGACATTATTCAAAATGTCTTTGTTATGACAACTTGACATTAACCAAGAAATCATTACTGATATAAATTTATTATAAAAGTATTACTGATTGCACTTTAAAAATTAGGCAACTTTGTTATTAAAGGTGAAGTTTAAACAGTAATGATTTCTTGGTTAATGTCAAGTTGTCATAACAAAGACATTTTGAATAATGTCAACTTTGTATTAAAAGTGTCATAATTTACCGAATGACGCTTTATGACAACAGTCATAAATATTCATGAAGGCTTATTCATGTTCATGACAGGAGTTATGACAGTGTCATGTCCGTCTTATTCAACCCCCTTCAAATAAAGTGTTACCCAAATGTTTGGCCCTAAGAATAGATTTAAAAGATAATAATAAAATGAGTCAATTAGAACTGCAACAATTTCAGGAAAAACAGTTTTCTGACCACAGGTTTAAACAAACAAGTACGCCCTTTTTCTCCTTTAGTCACTGGGAAAAGCAATTCATGTGAGGATGCACATGGATTGCATCTTTGTATTTACAAATACAAAGTATTTATCTCTATACAGTCAACCTGGAATTCTTTATGCATTAATTTCTTTGATAACAATGGATAGCAATAAAGAAAAAGCACTATTTTAAAGGTTAATTGGAGTTGAAAAAGTTAATGCATTATTGAAAGACGGTAATGAAAAAGTGCTTTTCTCAAAGCTTGAAACGTTGCTAGTAAGATATCATGACCATGAAGTATTATATAAAAATATATTTTCCAGAGAACTGCAGTTTTAATTATATTTAACAGTAATTAGTCATCATAATTATGTTCAAATGAAAAAAATAATAAAAGCAAAAGTGTTCTGTTTATAAAAATGCTTCCTGCTAAAAATTAGAACATAGTTCACATCAATAACAGAAAATAGTTCATCATCTTATACCACTCTCTGGTATATTGCAGCACAACACTATGTGCTCTCTCTAGTAAAATGAAATGCCTAAACTCAAAAGCACTGAGCTTTGCCTATTAACTGTTGCCCTGTGGTTATTGAAGCAATTCTTTGGACAACATCTCGTTAAAAACAAGCTAAAAGCTTTTTATAGCCATTTTTTTTTTAGCATTCCACGTCCGGCTAAATCTTGAGAGTTTAATCTCTCGTAATTACAAAGATTTGCTTAGATTAATAATAATAATCCTCCTCATTTGAGACCCCCTACCTGGACCTCCCCTGTGCCTTCTTTGCCCCTTTCTGTGAGGGATAAAATCACAGTTATATAAACAGAGACACAACTTCACTTCACAAATGGGAGCACTCCTTTTTGACTCGGAAAATTTGAAGCTGGAGAGAAGTTTTTAGCTGCAGTTTATTGTGTGAAACACAAAAGTTAATAGTTTTCTTCGGCTAACAAAGCTGCTGACGTCATTTCCACAGGTGGCGATTGTGTCAGGTATTAACGCATCGAGGTTCACAACAGTTGAAAGGCTCATCTTTATCCGTGATCTTGTCAACCGTAAGACTTTGGCGAAAGAATCCGTTGGCACAGAGGCAATCGCTTTATGAGGGGCTCTATTTTAAAAGTGGCTTTGAATCTCAAATAACAACTCTGAGAAGATCTTTTTAAAGATTCACTTTTCATTCATGACTTAAAAATCTACTGTACGTTTAGCGTGAAACCATTAAAACATTTACGATGAGTTTAGAAGAACCCAACTTGGAACTGACGATGGAGAGCAGGAACAGCCACAACGGAAGCAGCGACAGGCTTGGACTGAGCTTCACTATTGACTACCTTCTGTTCAATAGCGGAGTCAAAGGTTCGAAAGGAGAAGTGACGGCAAGTAGCGCAACGGAGCAGACGGAGAACAATATGCTAAATGACCAGAATCCTGAACTAAAAGAGGTGGAGATTCGTCGCAATGTACAGGGGACGCTCCCACAGGATCCAGACCTAGACACCGGAAAAAGTAAAACCAGCGAAGAGGAGTGGAACAAAGAACAACACGAGGAGGGAGAGGAGGAAATGACCACCACAAGCTGTAGTTCTGACAAATCTTCAGACAAACCAAACCAGTCGTACATTGCGCTCATCTCAAAGGCAATTCTGGCGTCTGAGGAAAAGAAACTGCTGCTGTGTGACATCTACCAGTGGATCATGGACCACTATCCTTACTTCAAGAGTAAGGTACATTCATGTTAATCTGTTTTTATGCTTAAATGTTAAAGAAAAAACTGTGTGTTTATGAAACTCCAATAAGGTAGTGTAGTTGTGAAGGCAAGAAGTCAAACTTGGGTGTTAACTTGAAGTAAACTGAGTACTCTGAAAATGTCTCTTTGATATGTTGAGACAAATGCATTTCAAGTGAGTCCCAAATAAAAAAAAATAAAACGGGGATGAATGTTTTTGCAAATTACTGCTTGTGTTCAGTTCAGTCACAGAAACATGGTCTAAGAACCATTTTCTTAAGCAAAGCGACCTAGTTGGCTAAGGTAATCTGTCTGTGTGGTTAAGCAATTAGGTGCTCACAGGGACAGTAGATGAGCTTCTTGTTGGCAAATTCGCAAATAAAGTAATCCTGTTGCTAGGTCGCAAACTGTCACTGCCTTCACCAGGTGCGACAGCAGATTGGATGCAGGCCAATGGATTAAAGTTGATCGCTAGTCGACGTGCTAAAAAGGTAACTTGGGGTGTTGTGTGTTACTGCGATCATACAGGCTCTCGACACACAATGGCGCCTGCTTGCCAGCAGCAGGACTAAAGTGGATCACTGGTACTTAACGGCCTCGTTAGTTATGTTCCAGTTGCGAACAGCCATTGTTTTACTCTTGCTTGCTGTCAAGCAAATTTTGTTCTGATCACATTTTTTTCCCACTCTACATATATTCCAACAGGATAAAAACTGGAGAAACAGCGTGCGCCACAACTTGTCCCTCAATGATTGCTTCATCAAAGCAGGTCGAAGCGACAATGGCAAAGGCCACTTCTGGGCGATTCACCCTGCAAACTACCAAGATTTTTCAAAAGGCGACTACCATTGCCGGAGGGCACGGAGAAGGGTGCGCAGGGTGGCAGCTCAGATTCGTCTGTCTTCCCTAATGTCCCCCTACTACCCTGCCGCCACTCTTACCCTCCCTCACAGAACGACCTGCTGGTGCTGCCCTCAGATCCCGACACTTCCTCTGTCCTGTTTGGCTCCCAGGCTCTACTGGCCATGGTCCAGCATGCACCCGCAAGTGGGTCTCCACCTGGGTCTCAATCCCTCTGTACCCTGAAAGGATCTGACTCCTTATGTATTTGCAGTTTTGGATGTCGTGTTCTTACTATGTGGTAAAAGGGAAAACTCTAGAATTTGATTTGATGTTATTCATGTCTTTAGATGATTCCGGTTTACATTATAGCTTTAATTTTAAAAATATGAGAAGTTAAATGAAAAAGTTTCAATATTTTCTGCATTTCACTCCCTTGTATTCTAGTATTACAAAGTTGTGCTATAACTTCATTAAATGATGTAAAATTTCTCATTGTGTTTTTATTTACAGTTTTATTTAGAATCCATCTGTTTCATGTGATAGGAAAAGCTAGCATAAACAACCCAATGATGAACATAGTTCCCCAAAAGACATATGGACTAGACTGACTGTTTGTATCTCTGTGTGTGTGTGTGTGTGCACAGATTTTGTTAAAAGTATACTAAAAGTGAGCCTCCTAATAGGACACCACCCGTTGCTACATGCTAATTAGTCAAAGCTGTCGGGATGCAAAATCCTGAGCCCTAAGAGACTAAAATCGGGCTTTCCAAAGACGACTCCCAAGGAAATGAGGCCAGATAATCCCAGCAATCCCAAATAGTTTCAAGAACTAGGAAGCTTATCACACTGTGTAATCCGCAGCCGCAGCTCTAAAATAAGGAGGGTTGGGGGACACTGGGTGGTCTTGGATAGGAAGCGGAGAAAAGGGAAGGAAGGAGGAAGAGGGAAGAAGCAATGAGTTACTGAAGAAAAATCTAAGGACGGCATATCTTGTATCTAATTCTTTAGTTTAATTGGAGGCAAAAATAGAAACAACAAGGAAGATGTCAGTATGGCATGTACATTTTATAATGGGATGTATAAAAACTGGGAAAGAACTTTCCTAGATTATAAAAAAATAAGAAATAGAAGGTGGCATATTACAAATTTTTACTTGAAATTAGAAATTATTCTGTAAAATGTTAAAACGTAGATGGAAAATTTATCTGGATAATTTGGCTTATCTTGAGTATTAGAGATGCCTTTTTCTGACCTAATGATAAAACGGAAATAAAAAAACTGCTTTAAATTACAAGAATAAGTAACTTCCATAGACAAAAAAAATTTAATTTAAAGAAGCTTACACAATGAAAGCAAATATTCACCAAACTGAGCAGTACTTATGATTGACCTCTGTCTTTAAAAAATACAGATTGCAGCTTTTTTTCTGAGATTACGCCAAAAATACTGCCGTGGAAATAAGTATCAAGTTAATTTTTACCTGCTCTTCTCACGTCAATAGTGAAATTCCTTTCTGACTTGTAAAGGTTGGCATTTACATCCACAGTTCTTCAGCCTAGGAGGATTAGATCATACATTGACTTTTCTAAAGTTTGTTTGCTCTCCGCTCATGTGGGCTTCCTATTTGCAAAATATTGAATATTTGAATACACCACTATTTGACATTAAATTAGATTCTGAACAGACAAACAATATGTCAGAGGGATCAGGAGCTGGGAGAGCAGGTGTTACTCACCACACTTAGTTTCTGGCGATGTTCATTAGAAAATGACAAATCCATCTAATTAATTTTTGTTCTCCAAATCTTCCTATTCATTGTCAGCAGCTAATTGGAGAACTAATTTGCTTAATTCCCATGAACAAGTCTCTGCATGAAATCCTCTTCAATTCACCAGCTTTGCGGCTTTAATTTGGTTGCATATGTTTGCTATGCACACACACACTTACACACACACACACACACACACACACACACACTGCTGTTTTCTGCATAAGCAAACACACTGCAAAGTGAAGCATTGTGTAAGATATTCGTAAAATTTTTAAACAGTTTTCTCCTGCAAAAAGTGTTGCAAAGTTGATAGACACACTAAATTATAATTAACCACATTGTTACTCCGAATCCCACTGAGGTCAGATTGAGCTGTGTGTGTCTGTGTGTGCATGCATATGTGCATGTTATTTTGTTAATCTAATGAGATGGGTGGTGGCGTGCTGGGGGCCGTAGATTAAAGCCCAAAGATTTTTTTTTTTTTTTTTTGCGCTGATTAGCAGAGAGTGAGCTAAGAAGATCAGCCCTGCTGAGACGGCGAGGAAACATTAAGGCCGTGTTTTAATACACTCTGTTTACAGCAGCATTCCAAAGCTGATTCCCTTTAACTCATGTGTAACTCGGCGATTTGACCAACATACAACAGATCATTCAGGATAAATCTATACATGGTGATAGATCGAGGGGAGCTGCTTGAAAGGTTAGCTTCACTTCAGTAAAGGTGATTTTCAGCTTGAAATCAGGTGTGTGCTTGTAATTAGAAATTCAAGGCGTTTAAATATTTCAAAAGAGGGAGATAATATTCATCCATGAATTTACTCGCTTAATCCTGACGGACTGACAGATAAAACTATTTGTTGAAACCTAACCAATAACAGCTTGCATATATTTCAGTTGTTTGTAAATGAATCAACACTTTTGGATATAAATTATTCAAATGTAACAGGTAAAAAAAAAACAAACAAAAAAAAACATAACCTTAATATCTAAATCCTAATCTTATTGTTTAGAATTTACCCAAGTTAAAGTAGGATTCGCTAATTTAATCATTTTTTACTGATCGATATATTTACACACTGACATGTCTGATGAAAATTTAAATGGTTTCAGTGGCTAATACCGTCCAAAGCTCCTTTTGTACTGCATCTCTGTAAGGGTATGAACATGTACAGGACAGAACAAAGCAAACACACTCAAATCTAATAACAATTCAGAGTGGATAATTAACCAAAACTGCATATCTTTAGACTGCAGGGAGGAGTGGGAGAGATCTACAGTTCAGGCAGCAGAATCAATTCACAGAACTAGTAGCTGTGCATGCCACAAAACTAGCTAATATAGAAGAGTGGCAAGAAAAAAAAAACAGAGGTGCTGTTTGGTATGGGGACACAAAAATTACACATCACATATTTGTAAGAAGTTATTTTTTTGTCAGTGTCAGACCAAAGTCAAACCTTTTGACTTACATGGTAACACTATTGCACCTGCACATGACATCCACTTGGTGAAACTTGGTGATGGCAGCCTCATGCTGTGGGATGGCTGTCTCCAGTAGGGGTAGGGAAGTTGGTCAGTGATGATAGAAAATAAAGGAAAACCTCGTTAGAGACGAGAAACACTTAAACAACAGCTAGAGCCTCATGGAATGGTTTAGGTAAAATGTATAAGAATGTGACATAATGCTATAATTTAGAACAAAAATGCTTTTGTTCGGATGTTAGCTAATTTTTAAAACAAACCAAGCCATTAGCTTGTTAATAGCAATCATAAATTACGTGGAACAGCGTTAGCAGATCTCCATTCACTCCATGATTAGCCTCAGAAGTTTGTTCCTGCAGCTGAATAACTCTGAAAAGCCTCCGAAGCCTGGCGGACCCCAAATTGCAGCACTATTAGAAAAAAAAAACAAAAAAAAAACATGATTGCATAGAAGTAAGCAGCATTTAAGGGCTTAAAGAAGCGCTGCGGCTGAACCCAAACCAGAGCCCATTTTCTGCTTGTGTCCCACTATGAACAAAAGCCCGGCGCTACCTCGGCTTCAAAGGCTCCATAATAGTGAATCGATCAGAATGCGAGGCGCTGTTCTGCAGATTACTGTTAACAATAATTTGCCTCCCAGTGCACCGTTGCCATCTTTGAAGCAATGTTTTATTGCCTTTTCTTTTTTTCATCTGCATCTGTCATCCCTGAGGTCCACTGTTTGATCTCACCCCCTCCTTTCCCTCCCCACCAGTGCGTGCCTCCCCGGGGTCGCGTTGACCTGTTGATTGGCAGCTGCGATCAGACATATGGTGGGACGAGGCATCGACCCGCAGCTCCCCGGAGACAAAAGCAGACTAGCTGAGTTTTTTCCCCCCTCCTTCATCCCCCGTCTTCCACAGCGCCGAAGAGCCGAGCTGTAACACCCGAGGAGCAGGAGGCGGAGGAGGAAGAGGAGGAGGAAGAGGTGCGACCGACCACTAGATGACGCAAGGTGCAAGCAAATGTTTCTGGGAAGCGGCTTTTCAGCTAGTAATGCAACTGATTGCAACGTTTTAATAGCAGTAGTATTTATTTACTGGATCACAATTTCCATCACTGGATCACAATTTCGATCACAATTTCCGTTCACTAACAGCTAATGGCACTGTGTAGCCGCGAATAATTAATGTCGCACTTATGTTATAAATTTCCTGTCAATGTATATATTTATCCCGGTCTTCATTCATAAAAAAAAAAAAAAAAAAAATCACAAATATATCTTTATTCCAGTGAGATCCGCACTCACATTGGATCTTAACTTGAAACGGATCCATAAAGCAGACATGTGAATATCAGATAACACAGGTCCAGGGATCTATAACCCCCTTAGGCTATTTTTTTCTTACAATTTCCACCTTAAAAACATTTACACATGAAATCAGTCCGCTATAGTTTAACATGTGTTGGGAAGATCTGCTCAAAAGGGATAAAAAAAACAAACAAAAAAAAAACAGTTTGACGAACATGTAACACTGTGTTTTCACTCCGTGACTCTTTATATTTTGTCACATGGTGACCATAAACCTTGGTGCCTATCTGATTCTCCCACCTGAGCCGTGAATCTCTGCTGGTCCTCCAGAGTTAACATGCGCCCCTTTGCCACCTGTCTGAATAAAGTTCTTCATTCATTAGTTAATGATTAGGACAAAGCGAACAATCACATTTTGCTTGATCGAAAGTCACAAAACACATCTGTTTAAAAAAGATGGGACGGAGTAGCAATAGAACAATTACTGTTACCAAAACCTTTGAGTTTTATCAAACTCAAACTGCCTGCTCCCAGCTCAGGGACTGTCGAGGTGAAAAGTGAACAAGTTTTCTCAGTGTTCGTGCCAGGCTTTGGTGGAACCCTCCCAGCTCTCTGCTGGCTTTCATGAAGCTGTTTGAGGGCAGCTTGACTCTCTGTTGACCAGAAAAAAACAAACAAACGTGTTGAACTTCACATGCATACATGTGTGTGTTTTCACATGATTTTAGCATACAGAACGCATAACATCCCCCCCCCCAACTCACCTTTTATGGCCGGCTTAGCGTTGCCATGGCGATGCATCCACGGCCAGGGTCCTTTGGTGATCCCCAGTGACCCTGATTGGTAACCTCTGACATTTAGGCCACAGCCAGGGTCAAGAGGTCAGCGATGGCCGGAGGGCAGCAAGAGCACTTCCGTGATTGGCCCTCTGACGCGCTTGCTGCCGCTCTCCTCTCTGCAGGGCTCGCCTCCCGTATTTGCAAAATCTCGTTTGCATTTGATACAGAAAGCAGGACTATCAGCTTCAGGAGTTTCATCCTGCTGGTTTACTCTGCACATCTGCAGGTAGGCTGCTTTGTGCTCACGGCAACATAAGGCTCAATATTGTACAATTTGCATCCAGCTGCACATTGTGTGTGAGTTTTTGGTTTCTCACCTCAGTTTTGTGTAAACCGTTATGCTAAAATCCAATTAGCAGCAGGGTAGCACCCTGTATCATGGTGGTTATGATAACAGTAATAATCTTCAGTATTCCCATGGCCCTTGCAACCCACCAACACCCAGATGTAAGGATAATTACAGGTCTTTATATGACGGTGTGCATGCATGTGTGTGAGCGTCTGTGCAGGTTTATTTCTGCGGCGTTGCACCACTCTACAGATCTTCTCGAGGGGAATAATTACAGAATCGTAGGTACTAAAAGTCATGTGACCCAAGCCTCCCGCTCCCAAATAATTTATCCCCGCGGCTGATAGCTCGTCAATATCAATTTATTAATTTAACAGTTCTGGACTGATAAAAGGTAGTGCGTGCAGTTAGGCTGCTAAACCAGAGAATAAGGATGAATTTTACACTGCAAGGTTGCGAGGGTGAGGAAGGAGGCAGAGACTGGAGGACAAAGCGAGAGAGAGGGAGGTCGAGAAACAGCTAAGGACTGATCAATGGAAACAGAGGAGAGAGATGCATATTCGGCCTGCAAAAATGGGCCACCATCGCTCATATTCTGATGATATTGAACAGGAGTTATGAAAATTAATACACTTATTATCACCTTATTAAAAATTAAGATTGAAGAAGGCGTTCTTGTTGTATTGAAATTCAAACGTCTCGAATATATTGATCAGCACAACCTAGTTTTTCGCCAACCTCTTAGGCGTGAGCTTTTGACATAACCCTCGTAGAAAAAAACTCTACAAAACCTTAAAAGTTTTTAATCTGTGGCACAAAGTAAATCCGTAAATTAGTAGTGACGCCCCCAATGCCTCTTAATTCTTTGTCTTTTTCTCCTGTTCTTTAAGTGCATCTAAACGGAGAACTTAGATTTTTTTTTTGGTCTGTAAACGTACCAGCAAACAGAACTCTTAATGCAGTTCTTTTTCGATGCTTAGTAAAAATCAGGTCAACTCTGCAAACATACTGAGAAATATTGACACAAAGTTTAGCACCAGTTATCAGTAACATGTCACGTAATCCACATATACAAACAAATCAAAACAATAAAATTCAGAAATGAAGTAACTAGCACTAAAGAGGAAGGACACAAGGAATAATAATTTGTGCCTTTGCCCAGCTTTTTTTATTCATGTGTTTAGTACTTATTTTCTTTGATGACTTAATTTATGGGCTTAATTTATCTGTGTGTGTGTGTATTCATTGAGTTGTTGCAAACATGAGGTGAGAATTGTAAGTCATAAGCACCAATAGGAATATTTTTAAAAGGACATTTTTTGAGTAATCAATACTTGCTGTATCCTTTTGATGCATAAAAGGGGTTAATCTAGTAATCCCTTCATTTTCATGATCCACTGATGTTTGTGTTTTGGTTTTCTTTTGTCTTCATATCTAATTACGTCTGGGTTTATTATTGTTGGAAATAATATCGCCATACTCAGTTGTTTATGATAGTCATTAAGATTTTTCCACATCAGTTCATGTCTTTCTTTGGTTATTTATTCTAGTGTTATTATTGCTTCATATAATCATTTCAGTTTGTTTTCTTATGTTAGTGTCAAGCTTTTCTTTTATCTTGTTGATCCTTTTGAGTCTTGTGATTAACTCAGCTGGTTCTTTTCTCATTTCCCACCCTGTCTCAGTTTTTAAGATCCTGGTTTTTCACTATTCCATGCTGGATTTTTCTGCCACTCACACCAGTGCCATTTCCTGTCCTGTTCCTGCCTCCATCGTCATTATTAAAATCTCTGCACTGCCTCTGGTTCTTTGTGACACTCATTTTCCTTTAGATTCTACACTTCCATCAAGAAAACTGCAGCGCATTTTTCTCTTCCGGTCAAACTCTGTTGCTGATAAGTGTTTAATTACAAAACTAAAATAAGTTGGTGATTAAAAAATATCTGCATGTTCCAGATTAGTCATTAAAACCCTGATTAATTTATCTCTGCTAAATATTGTTGGACAGGGGTTCTTCTTAAAAGATTGACCATTCAAAACAAAAAATACATAAACGCAAATTTTTAGGCTTGACCTCTGCTGACCTGTCAGCGCTTCCGCTGTATTGAAATTTTTTTATTTTTTTTAAAGGACCGTGAATATGTGTCCGGCTTATAGCAGAAGGCATGTATCACCCAACTTCCACCACTATAAAGCCAACATGCAGCCCCACCTATTCCCAGAGCCATTACATAATATCCCTGAAGGAAGCTAAAAGGTATTTTAACAAGACCCACTGCTTGGCCACCTTTGACCTCTTCACAGTTGACCTCCAGCTCCTGACCCCACTTACATTGGCCAGTGACAGTAGTGGACACAGATTCCACGAGCGTCCTGCTGAGACGGAAACACAGAAGGAGAAATCCATTCAGAAACTAATACAAGCAGGTTGAAGCTATCATGCTCTCTGAAAGATTTCCTTGCTTGTCCATTGAGAAATGCCGATTATAGGAGCCAAACAACTCCTAAATCCGACCGCTTATTGTTCTGTATGTCTGCGCATTATATAATCCCCCTGGTCTCTGCAAGCTCCCAGGCTCTCCCTTTGCACAGGCAATCACTGTAGTGGATTCTCCTCGGGTCTTTGGAGAGCTGCAGGGAAGCGAGTGTCAATAGAAGTGGAGTGTGTGAATGTGAGAGATGATAGACTGAGGTTAAGAGGTGTCAACACAGGAGAGAGGGCTCAAGGACTCTTCACTGTGGCACTCTCCTCAACCCCTACTCTGATTAACCGCTCTAAAGACGCTATAGAGACACAATCGCCCCACACCGAACCGTACACACACACACACCTGGACTAATTTCAGAGACACACTTTGCCACTCTCTTTGCCACAAGTCACACACGCTGGTTTGCGAGGCTACATTTCATCCGTGCGTGTCGGTGTGTCAGACGCATCAGGTTTGAGGTGTGGAAAAACCCGAAGATGTGTTGTTCACAGGCACAGGAGCCCTCTGAAAGGTTCTGGCAGTCAGCGATGGATTTGTTGCACCTCTGATGTGCTGTATATGTTCAGCCAAGTGTAAGACACAACAGCGCCATCCCACAGGGCTTTGCACCTGTCAGTCAGGTGCTCCATTGGAGCTTTTTTAAAAGTATTTACCCATGAACCAAGCGGAGATGTGCCTGCAATACATTAAGTGAAGAAAAACTGGACTTTTCAGTTGTTTTTATTGTAAATGTAAAGGAAAGTTTATTACTTAGAAATTTACCTGGAAAATCAATTCAAAATAAAGTGACAAATACAACCAATTCACTTTACTATTCACAGAATGGTTACATACGTATCCATATCCCTCAAATTTTTTGACATGCTTCTATCTTAAAAACATAAACATATAGTCAGACAAGTGTGTAATTCATAAGCAAAATTACAGTGTTACATGGTTTTTGAAATTCAGAAGAATGTGACGTATTTGTTTCCACTCATATCCCCCTTCGGCTGCGATTACAGTTGTAAGTCTTTGGGAGTTTGTCTTTTTCTGTTTTTCAAAATGTCTCAAGCTCATTCAAATTTGATATACCGATTTGTTAACATCAATTTTGACGTCTTACCACAGTTTCTCAATTGGACTTGGTCTGTCTATTCTTTTACATGTATTTGCTTTGATCTAAGACTGATTTTGTAGATCAGTCTCCTCTGGTAAGGATTGCTTTTCTGTTGGAAAGTGATGCTATCCCAGTCTCCAGCTGTTTACAGGTTTTCTGGTTTCCTTCCCTGCATTTAGCTCCATTAATATTTCCATCAACTTTGACCTGCTTTATAATCCCTGGTAAAGAAAATGTCCCCAGTTTGTGGAATGCATCTAAAGGTAGACCAGGAGGTAAATTCTTCCTCCAGAGCTGTGGATCTCTGCAGCTCCTCCAGAGTTGCAGTGGGCCTCTTGGTTGCTGTTCTTGTTAAAATGTTCTGACTGGCTTTCCAGTATATATTTTTTTCACTAATGTTTAATTATATAAACCTCTGAATCTTTTCCTGAACATCCAAATATATTCACATAATAAATCACACACGTCCAATCTTTTTTCTATTTAATTATACTGGATTTAATTTAACTAAGAGGGTTTGAATATTAATGCACTCCACGCTTTCTAGATTTTATATATATAAAAAAAAAACATTAAAAGGTATCATCTTCTACTGCAAACCCATGTTTTGCTTTATATTGGTCTATCAAACAAAAGGCAATTTTGTTCAAAATGTGTCAGAAACATTCTTTCAGCATCATAATGTATTAATTCCTACCTTCTTTTTCTTCACATATGTTGAGTTACCAGAGTATGCATATTAAAATAAGATATTAACTCAGGCGTTCCTGTGTTTTGAACTTCGAGCAGCTCTTATTTAGCTTCTATTTGTGTTTAAGTTTATTTTTGTTGTCACAGTAAGCAGATTACATATTTAGTCTGATTACAAAGACAAAAAAATATCTCAGACTGGGGCTTTGATACAAACTCCAATCGCCGTCAGGATTTTTTCCTCCTTTTCCTGAAAATCCTCTGTCAACATGTCTGTGGTCTCACATTTTTGACACTTACTTCTCCTTGTGAGCGTCTCAGAGATGCTATGTTCCTCTGACCTAGCCGATGCACAACCTTCCTTCAGCCATGCATTCGCTGATTGCATTCTTTTTTTCCAGGGAATTTCTGTGTCTGTGATGAAGCTGCATCTCTGTCTCTCAGTAAACAAAGCTTGATGTATTGATCTTCTGAGCGTGTGGTCGCGTTTGGTCTGCCTGATGTTGTGCTTTGGATACAACTGACCCAGTTTCCACAATGTGTTGTTGTGCTCCACGCAATGCCCTTTTAAAAACCTTCAGTCTGTGGTTTTGCAGCTGAGCGAGAGCTCTTCCAGGTTTATTTGAACCTTTTTATGTCTGAGACTGCATGTGAGACCTACAGTTAAATAATGGTCTGATAAAACAGTTGTATCTCTAGTGTTTTTGAGTTCATTATTTCAACACAATTTCCAGAAATGTTATGTAAAATGTAAATTAACTAGTGTGCAGTGAATTCAGTATATTTTAAATAAAAACAAGAAAACAATATATTAAATATTTATTGGAGAATATGCAGATGTTTTTTTGTCATGTTCTTCTTTTATGAGAAGCATACTTTACTGCACAACAGTCTTGAGCGTTTCAAGCTGACAATCTGGAAATATAAAGCTTTTTCAATTGGTTCATACATTACAATTGTTTTCCTATTTTTCTTCCATATTTCTTCAGATGGTGTCATTTGTTGGCGGTGCTGGAAGACAAACAGAGCATCTCATCATCTGGACTGTTTTCACTGCAGATGCAAAAAGGTGTCAGACTTGTTTTGGTATCTCCTTGTAACAAGGATCAATCCCTTTACTGATCACTTGAATTGCAACACATGGGCCTCCCAAACCTGATTATGTTAGTTAGCATAAACGTAATTTATATAAATAGTACCCTGTGTAATAATTGGTACCCCTGGCAAAATGTGAGCAAAACCCCTAAAACAAATTGTCGCTATGGAGAAACAATGGGATGACAGGTTTTGGTTCTTTAACAATAAGCCTAGGAGATTTTGTTGATCTTTGCTGTATAGACGAGATAAAAATTGGTTATTGTCGTATTCCAGTTGTTGAAAACTGTTTAATTGTTTCTCTGATTGTAGATATAGATGAGTTTAGTTGTGTGTCTTTTATCTTGTAGCCATTTTCTGACAATGTAATTTTTTCCAAGTCAAGTCTCAACTCCAAGTCAGGTTTGAAATCTAAGAGTTAACTCATAGTCAAGCTTCAAGTCTTTAATGTATGAATTTTTTTAATAAATGCATGCCAGGTCTATAACTGCATCAGTATATTATTTTAACATTTGAACCTTTGTCTTTTAATCTTTAAACATTTAATTTTGGCATGCAAACAAATTGTTGTAGGCTACTTCCACATTTCAATTTAGAAATTGATAAAGTGTAATATTTATCCTGTTAGAAATACAAACAGGCATTTATGCTAAACAAAAATAACAGAATGAGATTAAAATCAAGCAAAGCACATTTATTTTGCCTTTGTAATAATGTAGTCAATACCTGTTAATAACTGTTGCCCATATTGCCCAGTCTCACTATATTCAGCACTAAATAAGATTTGGTGGTTTCTCTCCTCCTCACTCTAAATCAGAACTTTTTTTATTAAATTTTCATTAACAAAATGCTTTAAATATACATTTAAAACCTTTGTTGCCAAGTCTAAAAAGTTACGATGTTCAAAAATGATGCTGTAAATTACAACATAATGAGTGAGGAACTGTGGAGTGAGGAACCGAAAAAACATCTGTATGAGCAGAACAGGAAGAGAGCTTTATTTAGCCGAAAGTGTCCAAGTAGCTTCATAGTGGATGAATAGAGAATAGTGGATGATTTCTCCTTTTGTGAACAAAAGCTCACTCTGTAATTCACTGGCGTTCCTAAGACTTAGAAATGTCTGTCCAGACTGGTAGATGTCAGTGATGTTTGTTGCTTTTTGGTTGCATTTAGGCTACTTCATGTTGTCAGGCAGGGTCTATTTAAGTGACCTTGTTAATAAATATCATTATTATTTTAAGACTTGAATTTGACTAGTGAAATTGATTTAACAATGCTGTTAATCACAGTCAAGTCACAGTCATAATTCAAAATAACCAGATTGGTTTGAATAGCTTTTTTCCCATTGGTAAAAATCAGTGCGTCTCTGATTTGCTGGCATCCCTGCTGGTATAGTTAAAGTAATTAAAGCCTCCGTCATAGTTTTTGGAGCTCTTTAGCAGTCGGTGTTAAGCCATGCGGCTAACGCAATCCTCGTCGATGCTCCCCTCGTCCCCATCACTCTGAAGCGTAGAGCAAACGGCTGCTCTCAAGTGACCAGACAAAACCGTGCAGAAATAGAGATATAATACACACTGCGCGGGGCTATAGATCGCAGAATGTGAGAGCACTATATAAGTCAATATCTAAATGAAGAAAGATGCTGATGTGAACGCAGATATATGACTCACATCTGTAAGAGTTGACATGGAGGCAGGTTCATGAATCTTAATTATCAGAGTTGAGAAGCGGGTAGGTTGAGCGGGGTTGCCAAGACGTATCAACGTGGCACCACGGGAGCATTTTAAAATAAACAGCCACTCTGACAGCGGTGGAGAGAAGACTCTCAGCAGCTGGTGCCAAAAGACTGTATCTCTCTGCCGTCCCCTCCCTTTCCTCCTGAAAACCTGTGAAGTAGAAAATAGAGGAGATATGAGGAGGTGGGGATGGAGGGAGATAAGCAGGGCTGGAGATAGGGACAGGTGAAAGAGGTAAGGGTCGTAGCACATGCTCCTCTTGCCCCCTTCTCTCGCCAATGTTTTATTATCCCTGTCAGATTGCAATTTGCTCAACAGTAAACATACAGAACGGGCTTAATTAAGAATTTTTGAACGGGGATACGGTCAAGTCCGGAAACATTAGCGAGATGCAACCGGGTGTCGTAAAGATTGATTGAGACAGAAGATGGAGGGATGTGGATAGAAACAACCGGTGGAGGGAGGGAGGGAGGGGGGCGGCAGCGTTGCATATGCGACAACTGAGGGGTATTCTTGTGTTGCTCAGGGCAGTAGGGTGAGATGAGTTTGGAAAGCTGGGGACAAACGATTTTTAATGCATTAACAACCCGGCTGTGTGAGGCAATAACAAGGACGGGATCGGCGCTAAAATGTTTGACATCCTGCTTCGAGATCAATGCACCCCGGACAGGACACACAGACACAGGCGGACACATATTCACCTCCACTACCGGCACACAGACGGAGCACGCACTCCCACACGCACGCGTGCCGGGCCCAAGAGCATGTGGGTGGGTGCACAAGTTTAACAGCCTTCAAACCTCATGGCGATGTGTAGGAAATACAAAAAAAACAAAACAAAAAAACAATACCTATATCCACAACAATATCCGCAGGTAAAAGCAGCTTTAAATCAAAACAGATAGAGGGTGCATCTGGAGTCGATTGTTGAGAGCTGGGTGGACTACGTAAAAGGCCAGAGAACTAAAAGAGTAATGAGCCTATCCATATCTCCCTGTGGACCTGAAGTTTGCATTCAATACATTATTTACAACTGAATTTTTACTGAGATATAGGTTCCTCTCTGGGGTGTTTACAGACTGGTGCTCTAACTGCTTGGAGTTTAGCCTGCAGAGTTGAGCAGCATTTAAAATTGATGCACATTAACCGACCTCTATACATGTGTGTCACACAGACTTATACAGTGCATCGCAAGACAGTTCATAGCAATTGAAATTATAAACACAAATGTCTTTTCTAGGATTTCATATTATAGATTGACACAAAGTATAGTTGTAAAGAGAAAGCAGAATTATACATGCCTTACTTTTTTTTCTGAATCAGATTTGTTTTATTTAGTACCCCTGAGTCAGTGTCCTACCAGCTTTGCACATCTTGCAACTCGGGTTTCTCCATCATGCCTGGATGGAGAGCATGTCCAAACACTAATAATTAAGTTCTGCCACAGATTCCCAATGAACTTTATGTATCGACTTTATCTGTGCTATTAAAAGACATTAATGTGTTTTCATGTAGTTCATCATGCCCTTGTAGCTCTCGGCATCTTTGTGTTAGTCTCTTGCCAGAAGGGGAACCTTCACCCCAGCTTTCTACTCTCAAAACAACTTGCATCCATGATTGGACTAAGTTTTGCATAATTCGTCTTTCTATCAGATCTGATGACCTTACTTGCCCTGGTGGAATAAAAGCATCCCCACGGCATGATGGTGCCATCACCCTGTTTCACTGTGGACCTGGTGTTTAGAATGTGGTATTTTTCTGCCAAGCATGTTACGCCTGAAGACCAAAAAAACTCAGGGCTTGGTTTCATCATAGCAGAGCTCTTCTGCGTGTTTGCTGTGTTTCCTACATGCACGTTTGATATGCAGCATTGTTTTACACCCCAACTCTACTTCCTTGACCTGTCTGCTATGTTCCTTGGCCTTCATGGTGTTATCTGTCCTCTAACAAATCTCTCCAGCCTTCACAGAGCATATATACAAAAATTAAAATAGCACAGGTGGGGTTGATCCTCAAGTCAGATTGCTTCTAAAACAACTGGTTATATGGAGTTTTAGTAAAAAAACAAACTAAAGAATACAATTACATGAAAAACTTCTCAGATTTTTTGGTATAAAAATGTGGACTTTTTTTCCCTTCTACTTCACAGTTCTGTATAATTATGAATTTCCATAGGTATCAATAGAATAAATATAAATTGTTTTGGAGGGCCACTAAAGTTCTGCAGGAATCAAGGAATAACTTTAGGTTTGATGTGAGACTTTTAAAGCTTACCTAATCTCTGTGATTACTCTACTGTCTTTCCAATATGGTTCGAAGAGGCAGCATTTATTATTGTGCTGTTTTAATGTTCGGCCCTTTATCAAGCTTAGTACACAATCAACCTCCAAAAATGAAAAAGGATGCACAAAAGTCTTTATGCAGGTCATTGTCTGTTAGAAGGTGTGGGGTAATGCATCGAGATTGCATGGTTTGCGCTTTGTTTATGTATTTCGCTTCAATACCGGCATAACCCAAATGTCGTCTTACATGCTGTTGGCTATGTGATTACACAAAAGAGCATGAACTTTTTATTCTGTGGGAATAGCTCAACTTGGAAGGTTTAATCATGAACATTCACTTGGTGTAAACATAAGATAAGGACTCCCAAAATATAGATTTATGCAAACTAAATTTGCTGTCCACAAAATGAATCATTCTATTCTTCTTCAGCCTCGTCTTAAACCTCTTTTTCTCCCCTGCAAGAGACCATAAGGATTTTTTAACAACCTCGTCCCTCCCTCCTCCTCTTTTCTTCCAGCCAGAGTACAAGCTGCTGCTGTAGCCTGAGAAGTCCCCGCTCCCTTTGTCTTTTGTAGTTCAGCATCTCTCGCCCAAAATACTGTAACTTCTGGGAAACGGGGAGGTCTCAGTTCTCCGCTTGGAGAGAAACCGCAAGCAGAGACCCATTCTCTAAGTCTTCACGACGATCCCTCCCTCCCTCTCTCCCTCCGTCTTTGTCTCTCTTTTTTCAAATAGACTATTTGTCATCTCTGAAATAGAGCGTTTTTAAAAATTCAACCTGGAGCCAACCCCCCACCCTGACTCTCCTCTATTCTCACTCTCAATTCCCCAGACTCTGGCCGGCTACGATCAATAGCCTATTGATCAACTCTCTCCATTCCCATTACACACCAGTGCCAAAAGAGCCAACCATTTTCCCTGAAAAGCTGATCTGGAGCATATTTGCAGTGGTAGGGTTTCTCTAATTTCAGCAGGTTATTATTAAATGCCTACAGTGTGTAAACGTCTTGCTGCTCCGAGACGCTGAGAGGTAAAGATGTGCTAGAGAGGACCACACTGACCGCAGTTACCTTTTAATTGAAAGGTACTGCACTGAGGTAAAGTAGGGTATAGCTTCCCACTTAAAGTAAAATAGGAAAGGTGAGAGCATTACCACATACGTAGAAAGCAATCCTTTTCCCAGTTGTTTCTACTTCATTTCTCTCCCCCGCCTTCTGTCTCTCTCCTCTCTTGCTCTCCATAGACAATGCTATGGGCAAAATCAATACTGGAAAGGGAAAAAAAAAACACACACACACACACACACACACACACACACACAGAAGGCATATTTTTAGCCCGTTATTATATGAGCTGCATGAGGAAAACGGTGTTTGTGGGAATGACAGAAATGCCAAGGTTCTGGTAAGACAAAGATAGGGTGGGAGAGAAACAAAAAGAAGCGAGAGGGCTGAGAACGATGGTGGTGCTGGGCTGTGTAAGGGAGGTGGAGGGTGGATGGGGGGCGGGGGGTCTAATGGAGATGGATCAAATGAAGGTGGAGATAAGATGGGAGAAAATGGCTGATGTCTCGGCCAGTGATAGAGCTTGAAGTAGCCTGCAGGAGAACAGCTACAGAGAGGATTTTTTTGTTTTATGAGGATATGTGATCGCTAACATCAAGAGAAAAATCCTCTCAGTTTAATATTTGCTTTTGTTTCCAGTTAAGTGACGCTTTAGTCGGTTTGGCACACCTGAGAACAAGCGCTTCCTCTCTAAATCGCTCAGCAATCACAGCGACGCTGTACCTGTTTTCTGCAGCTTCGCTCCACCTCTGTGCGTGTTCGTGCTCTCTGCGGATTGCTTACCCACACTCACTCCCGTTGCCAATGGCTTTCTGATGGACTCCTTCTCCCTTACCTTCTTTTCGGGCTCTCTCCGGTATCGCTGTCAGTCAAGCTCCGGGCTCCTGCCATTGGCTGAATGTGGCGCGTGGATCAAAAGGCGGGGAGTCCAATTGGCCGGAGAGCTCACTGGGGGGAAGGAAGGGATTGATTTATCTGTGGTATTAGAAGATCAATTAATCCCTATTGTGTGTGCCAGCACAGATAGCCCGATGTGTCTTATTTGGTATGGCTTGTTTCTGCTCAGCCAAGATAAGAGTGTCTCCCGTCACTTCGCTCTATGAGCAACAAATCAAATCAAATCGAAAAGGGGGTGACGGCATGCACAGGGTTCCTCCCCGGGCTGTGGCTGGCTGATCACAATAAGGGAAGTCCATCAATATGAAAAGTTGTGTATAAAGAATAAACACAGCTCATTCCAGGGCCAGGATGTCTGCCCCGTTGCCATGACAGTGCATGATGTGAGAATGCAAGCCTTTTAACTAACTCCACTCAGCTGATGAACCCACTTATGACTGACGACAACGGACACAGAAACAAATGTGTGCATGTAGTAGGAGCTGCATTAATGCAGAAGTTTACCAGATTTTGCAGTGAAACCTGGTTTGGGGAACAACTGAAGAGTGACTTCTCCCTCACTCCTGAACCCTTCTGGAGCAGAGGTTTATACTCTGCACTTTGACCTCACTAGGGCCTGCTCCACCCTGGGTCTGCCTCTGCTTGGCAAAAGAGGCAAACTGCTGCATTAAAGTGGAGAGTAAAACTCACGGAATATAAAAAGTTGAAATTAAAAAAAAAAGAAGTTATGGTTAGCTTGATTATACACTGAGGATACATTTTTTATGCTAAAGAAAAAAAGTAAATCGGTAGAGAGGCTGGGCAGCGTTTTCAGTGGCTGAAAGCCGAGAGGCTTCAGTTTACAGCCTTTTACCACAGGCATGTTGTTCTTGTTCTATTTTTCTTCATAATTGAGTTTGTTTTACCGACATGTAAAAAATTTATAACACCCTATAAAAGCTTGGGTGTTTCTCTAACATATGTGACGATATAGATAGTATGAATTTTGACATTACTGAAAAATTCCAGTAATACAATTAAACAATAAAATCTGAGCAAAAGACCTTAGAGATTTTTTGTTAATAAAAAAAAAAGTAGCTTCTAGTGAGGAACAAATTAGAACAACTCAACACTTATTCGCTTGTAATATGGCTAAAATCACACAGATTGAGTGCAGATGTAGAGAAAGTCGTCACTCAGATTTTTGACAGAGATTTGCCCTGTTTAAACCTCAGACATTTAGTTTGGATTTGTTCTGACGGATGAAACGAGAGCGACTGACATGGTAAAACCTAAAGAGCTGTCTGAAGCCTCCAGGAAGAAGACTGTAGCATCTTATGAGGACTGAACGAAATTTGAAACGTATCTGAAATCATCTATGTGTGGAAAAAAAAAAAAGTTTTCACAATTTTAAGGATATTGAAAACCCCTGCCAACACGCCCAGGTCTGGCTGTTCAAAGTTTAAGTTCATAAAAGTAGACTGCAAGTAGTTAAAAGAAGTCTCCAAAAACCTTAAAATGTCATCACAGGAGTAATGGCAGACTCCTGTTGTCAAAGTGTATGACTGTACAATCAGGAAAAGACTGCAGAAATTTAACTTACACTTACAGAAGAAAGCTCTAGACCAGAGGTCTCATTCTCGCGGGCCGCAGGACGATGTCTTGTGGCCCCCACCGTGATGTGAAAGTATATTAGTGCGGCCCATAGGGTGAGTGGACCTCTGAAGTTCCGCCCGCCGTTCCTCGTCATGGCTGACATTCGGTGCTAGGCTAAGCTACACTGACTTCATGCACACTACGCTTGTAACAATAGTGCGGCGGATGATGGAAAAGTCCGGTACCAATTGCCTTTTTTTGTAGGAGCCATTCCGGAACTTTCTACCATAAACAAATGTCACGATCAAACGCAGAGAAAGGCGACTGCTACCGGGCTACTCGCTGTTGTGACAAGTGGAAGCGGTAATGACGTCACGCGTCGAGACGTTCTCCATACGTTGCTAGCTGGCTAAAGACTTCTATGTGTAACCAGGTGAAAAATGGGTGCATGTCAAATGTATTTTGTAACCGACTGGTTGTAATTCTTGTTTTTGT